TTCTTCTCTCACAGAGACTCTGAATCTGATTTTGGAAACTCTGAGAAGAGAAATGTCCCTAGGGATAAAAAGTCATATTCTTCAAAATGGAGTGTCTTCTTCCCCACCACTCTGCATGCTTCAGCTGGACTGATGGTGGCAGATGCTGGTGTCTGATTCACACACATTCTGGGTCGCTTACTCACAATATCTCAGGCCATAAGCACCTGCCAGTCACTTTTTTCCCCCAGGCCAACTGACCCCTATTGCTCAGCATAAGGACACCTCAAAGTTCCAACCCTGTCCTGTCCATCAATGTGATTCTCTAGTTCATCACACTAGGGCTCCAACTCTTCAGGGCAGATGTGCTCCACAGCATCACCCTGGAAGCTTGACGCAAGCTGCAAGGTGCTGTTATGGTTCCTCTTCACCATCTGCTGATGATTCAGGACTTGTGAGCTCCTGAGCTATGGGAGAAGGGAAAAGTCAGTGTTCAATTGACTGCAGAATATGACATTTATTCCTCAGGACCTCTCTCTTCTCAGACTCTCCAAAATCAGATTCAGAGTTTGAGTGAGAAAAGAAAATGCCCCCACTAGTTTTCCTCACCAGCCTCCTCTCCTAAATCCATCAGCAGCATCACCTGCCTCAGTTTCCACCATGCATCACTCAAGGGAATGAAAGACCAAAGAAGTAAGGGACAAGATCCCAAAGTGAAGCCCAGTGCCTCTCCTCTGCCCAACCATTCCTGACAGAATAGGGACCTGCCATAGAAGGCAGTTCCTTCTGCCAATCCTGGGCACAGGCTTCACACACAGGCCTTTACCCCCTTAATATCCAGGCCTCCTCTGCTGCAGGGGCAGGTGCTCATCCAGCAGGGTCTGCTCTAGCTGCAGCTCAGCCTCCTTTCCTCTCAGCCTGAGCCAGCAGCTCCTAACTGGAAAGCCCACCAGGAAGCCCAGGGGCACCAGCAGGCCCAGCCGGGAAAAACATGCCTGCCCCCTGGCCTGCTGCTCACCTGACCTGAAGTAGCCCACACAGAGCAGAATCCCTGACCCCCAACACTTACTCAGGTCCCTAATCTGTACTTTACCCTCCTAGGGCCTACCTGGCCCATCTGCCCCAGGAAATCAGCTACTCCCCAAGGGCTTCTGCTTCCTGAGACTGCCTCACCTGCTTTCTCCCAGCCCTAGCAGGACTCACACAGGCCACAACCCTAGAGGTGTAGCTCCGTGGTAGAGCACCAATGGGTGAATCCTCACTATTTCTAAAAGAAAAAAAATGATGTACTGAAAATGGAAATATTTTTATTGGGTATGAATATTTAGAGAAGAAATTTGGAAATATGAACACCTAACCTTCACTCTTTTCTGCATATGTTCCAGTGAAATTGCAAGATGTGGGGAGCTGCTCTGAATGAACACACCTTCAAGTCCTGACACAGGGGGCTCTGACCAATTACTACATTTCTTAGTGACTTTCACATTGTCCCAGCTCAGATAGCAAGGCGTGGCTTCAGGTGTAGGTGTACCGCTGGGATTGAGTTACACTCACCTGCTCCCTTCTGCCTTTTTTGGATAGAACTTTCTAAAAAACAGCATCCCCCCAAATAAAAGCCCACTTCTGAACGTGCTTGCCCTCTCTCTCACCAGCCTCTGTGACTTTCTCTTGCTCTCCTTTTGGGGAACTTGAGGCCGGGAGCTGGGAAAGTTGTCCTGAAGCTTGTGTAAAGGTATTTCGTGTCTGTGTTTTATTTTGCATCACCCCAAATTCACACGAGTGACCTTAGTTCACCGCCTGTGCTGGACAGGGGCGGCAGTAGGCAACTATTTTTCCCCACAGAGAACCAGAACTAGCTTTCACCCTACAGCAGAGGCTGCAGGTGAGAGCAGCAGAGAGCACTGAACCATCTGCCCTGGAGGGAGAGTTACCTGGACAGCTCCTGCTGGGGGGCAGGTTTCTGAGACCCAAGGGGCCAAACACTCACCACCCCCACTGCTGACCCCACAGAAGGGGCAGAAACAACAGAAAGATCCTCCAAACCAGTAACTAACTGTATATGCTTCAACTTCGTTTCCTGTTGAAACACCAGCTTCCTGTTTTCTCTTTTCCTGACCCTCCAGCAACTGATTGGTGACAGGGGAATGGTTTTGACCATCCCTTACTCCAAATGCACAGGGGCATGACCATCTTATAAAGGGGAATAGCCAAGGGAGGGCAGGGTGAGCAGAGGCCATAGAGCACAGACTCAACACACCAACACACACAGTCCTTGGGGAGCGTGCCCTCTGGGGCTGGACAGGAAACCCTAAGTGTCACAGTCAGCTTTCACTACTTTGACAAAACACCTGAGGTAAAACACTCAGGAGGAAAGATTTACATTGGCTCAAGTTTCACCAGTTTCATCCCAGGATCCCTTGGCCCCATTTCTGTGAGCTAGAAAGGAAGAAAATAATGATGGCCAGCACATGACAGAGTGACACTCTTCACATCATGGTGGCTATGTGGTGGCCAGGTGGCAGAGAAGGAGAGAGCCAGGAGCCTGGGACAAGATGTTCCCTTCAAGGAATGCCTCTTCCAACTAGGCCCACCTGCTAAAGCTTGCACACCTTCCAATAGGACCAACACCTGGGGCCAAGCCTGCAACCCATGAGCCTTTGGGAGATATTGCACATGGAAACTCTAACACCAGGTAGGACAAAAACAGGGACCACAGCTGCCCCACAATGGCTGGTTTCTCTCCCCAGATGGTCGGAGGCATCTGCTTTTTCATTTTTCCATAACATCTGTGAAGCCACTCCTGATGGACGACCATTGTGGTGGGGCCTGGGATGGAGTACATGCCCTAGTGACCCAGTGGACACACACAGGAGACACCCCTGAAGAGTGACTGGAGATGCTGATAAGATAGAAGATAACTACATGTGCTGAAGACCCCTGGGCCTGCTCTACATGGGCCTCCCAGGGCACTGGTGCCACAGGCCTCATGGTTCTTCTTATTGGTTTGCACATGACAGGTGGAGAGACAGGAAAGAGGTAGGCAGACAGGAAGAAACCAGAGGCAATAGCCTTTGTGGGATTTCTCTAGAGTTTCTAAAGAAACAAATCACAGTTCCTTTTATACTTTGTCTGCCTGATACCGTGATAATCTAGCCCATGCAAATCAGCCCACCATTCCCAACTCCTGGTCAAGACCTAAAAGCTTGATACAGAGAGAGATGAGGACAGGGACAGAGCAGGAGAAAACCACACTGAAGCTCACCCCTAACCCTGTGACAAGAATATGGTGCAGCTGGGCCTTTGAGGATGTTCACGGCCCTTGGCTTTTGGCAGGACTAAGGGGAGTACCTGGAGACCTGGCTGCCGGCCCCTCACAAAAAAAGACACATCTATCCCTGTTCCAGAAGTCTGGTCACCTCCACTGCACTCTGTGCAGCATGAGGCATGAGGGACCCTACAACCCAGAATGACCCTGCCATCTCCATCCACTGCCCACTTTTCTTACCTGAACCCTCTGCAGCTGAAATTGTCTCCCTCCTGTTGCTCCAAAGCACATAAAGGAGAAGAAGAAGAAGAACAGCATCAACAGCAGCAACCACACCTAGAGAGGCTCGCCATCGGCTTTGAAGCAGCAGGGTCGACCCTGAAAACACACATGTTACCATCTGGGTTCCAGAGCTTCTAGACTTCCTCCCTCTCACCACCCTGGTCACTGACCTATCCAGTTGGGAACCCCTGCTGGGACACCCAGGCTCACCACAGGGCACAGTGCCAGTGCTCTCTTTCCCACTATGTCGCACATGGCAGGAAAATCTCTGCTCCTGTCCTTGAGGAATCCTGGTGGACACGCAGGTCTGGTAGGTCCCATTCCCATATGGTAAAAGACTCCCAGACTGCTGTGTGTCCTGGTTCAGGGGTTCCCCATCCTGAAGCCAAGTCAGAGAGATAATCCAGGGATAGAACCCAAAAGCCCAACATGTGGCGTTGATGGTGTCCTCCAAGGCCTCACCGCAGGTAACAGTCACTATTGGGGACACTAGAGAAGAAAAAGCAGAAACAGTCAGCCATGTGATCCAGCCTTACTCCCCTTAATGAAGGCAGAGGGAACAGGGCTGGTTCTTTCTGCTGTAGTGTCTCTGACCAAAGTCCTCACTGACACTAGACTGCTGCAAATCTGCTCTCAGCCAAGGGCCTCAGTCCTCTGACTGGCAGGAGGATGGGCCTCGGGTTTGTGGCCTCACATTCTAACTTGCACATGTTGATGTGAGGAGGGGGTGTTACGGGGACTCCTTGTTTGTGAGGCCACAAGGGAGCTCCGCATGATAAGTAGGTTGGCAGGCAGGTGGGCAGAAGAGGGCTCAACTCCTGCCTAACCCCAGTTGCCTGAGGCTCAGGGTACTTCCTTGTTGTGGCCCAGACAGTTCATAGATTGCCAAACCCTCCTGTCTTTATGCAGTGGTTTAAAAGGATGGGGAAATCAGAATACATCACCCTCACAGAGAACACATGCATCCCATAGTACAGAGAAGGCCCCTTATATTGAGGCTCTAGGGGAATGGGGGCTGGGGTACCTATTGTCTTATTGAAGGCTATCCAGGAGTTCAGATATCTCTGGAGTCTTCCACAAATTGTTCCTTGCACATGGGCCCATTGAGCCTTGCTTGGACTATCATCCGATTTCCAGTGCTTCTTGACTTTCATAGCCAAAGTCTGAGCCGAGGAAGGGTGCACTGTCCAGCTGTGAGTCACAGGGTGAAAGGAGAGGAAGGGCTCCTCATCATAGTAGAAATCCCAGAAGCCCCTGGTAGGGTTGTTCTTTTGCATCTCACAGCCCCAAGACTCCTGGAGGGAATGAGACCCTGCCCCCATCCACCAGTCACTTTAGCATCCCCTGGTGCCTCTGCCTCCCTGCCCACCAAGAGAAACTCCAGCCCACAGAGGATCCCAGCATGGCTCTCTCTCTCTCTTCAATGTCCCTGTGCTGAGCTCTATGGACCCCATGCTTGCCCTTCCCAGACAAATGCAGTGAGAAGAGAGGTCCCTGCTCTCTGCCCCCAGCCTTTCTGCAGAAAGACCCTTGCCCCCACCCCCACTCACCTTCTTTCTGCCTCTGCAGCCTGATGATATCTGCCAGAGTCATTCTGAGGTTTTTCCCACTCCCTGCCAAGTCTTGGGTCTCTGTGTTCCAGGTCTCGGCTCCCAGGACTGTCTTGCCCACAGTGCCTCATTCACATCCACTACCTCATCACACCAAGGAATGGGAATCCAATTCCCTGGATTCCTGCACTGTGTGTCCACTGTCACAGTGCAGGAAGGGCTGATCATCCAAAAGACCCTCAGCAAAGAACTGTCTGTGCACTAAGTTGTTCTGGGATCTCATTTTTAGGTTATAACGAAGACTGTGGGACCCTGTGGAAGAAGATACCACAGATGATTTTTTTCTTCCTGGAATCAAGAGCTCAAGAACATGCAAAACATAGTTTTGGTCTCCTGGTGAGATAACTAAAAGCAAAAATAGACCATTGGAATAGCATCAACCTAAAATATTCCTGCCTAGCAGACAATTTATAGAGTGAAGAGACAACCCCTAGACTGGGAGAAAACAATCATAGGTCAGATAATGGTTTAATACACAAAATATACAAATAACCTTATATTTAACATGGGCAAAGAAGTTGAAGAGACATTTGTCAAAATATGATACATAAATGGCCAACAGTATGTGAATGAATGCAAATGCCAATTAAAACCAAAAGGAAATATTGTGTCACACTTATTAGATTGGTCATTGTGAAGACACAAAGAGTGATAGCAAGAAGGTGGAAAAAAGGGGTGTGCACCACTGGTGTTGCAATTTAGTAGAGTTATTTTGGAAAATAGCATGGAGGTTCCTCCCCAAACTAAAATTTTTGCTTTATCCAGCAATCCCACTACCTCATTCACACCAAAGGAATGGGAATCCAGATTCCCTGGATTCCCTGCACTGTGTGTCCACTGCAGCATCAGTCACAACAGTCAAGATATAGCAGCAACCTAAGTGGTCTCCAATAGATGAGTGGATTTAAAAACTGTCTTAAACCACCTGGTGCACACCTAAAATCCCAGCTACTCAGAAAGCTGACACAAGAGGATTGCTTGAGCCTGGAGTTGGAGGCCACCCTGGGAAAAACAGCAGCCCACCCTCAAAAAGAACCCCCTCGCCAAAACCCAAACCAAACCAAACCAAACCATTATGGGATATACACACAAAATAATATCAATTAGCCTTTTTAACAAAAGGAAATTAAGGATGAAAATGTAGCTTAGGGATAGAGGACTTGCCTAGCAGTCACAAGGCCTCAGATTTTATCACCAGAAACTTCTTCTTCAAAAAAAAAAAAAAAAAAAAAAAAAAAAGCTAGGAAAATTTGTCATTTGTGACAATGTAGGTGGAAAGTAGAGGACCCTAAGAGAAATTAAAACAACAACAACAACAAACAAACAAAAAAACAAACAGGCATACAGAGACAAATGAATGGACAGAGAAAGGAGAGACACTGGTAAAGGGCCACAAAGTTTCATTTGGATAAGAGGAAGAGTCTGGTGTTCTATAACACAACAAAGCTTCTCCACTTAATGCTGTATATTTTAAAATAAAGAGAAAAAAAGATTTTAAATGTTCTGACCAAAAGGAAACCATAAATATTTGAGGTGATGGATATGCTAATTACCCCAAATTGATTATTCTAAAATGCATCCATAACATTACATCCCAGAAATAGATTCAACTATTTGTCAACAGAAAAATTTTTGGAGAGGAAATCGAACTAAACATCATTAAAAAAAAAAAAGTTGGGGCTCTGGAAAGTTTGGGTGAGGTAGAGAGGCAGCAGTGGATAAAACCTCTTGTAGGAAATGGCCCCTAAGAATAGGAGGAAAGGACTGGGGTTGGGGAGACAGGGTATCTAGTGTGCAGGAAGCACAGACCTAGGATGCAGTGTCTACCTTAGAAATGGGTCTGAAAACACAGCAGGAGTGGGGGAGGTGAGGGGAAGCCAACAGGCTGAGGAGACATGTTGGGTGACAGGGAAGGAGGCATAGAGATCTGGTGAAAACACAGGCATATTAGAAAATAGATAGCATATTAGGGTGAGAGGAGTACAAGGGGGGACAGCATCCCAGGGCGCAGGAGTCCAGGGGACAATGTGGGTGGAAATTAAAAAAGCCCCAGCAAGAAGATCTTGACTCAGCAATCTTAGCTGTTCACTTCCCTCAGTCTGAGTGTTTGATGCAGCCACAGTCCTCACAGAGGCAGGAAGGGCTCTATGGGGCTGGGACGTCCCTACTAGCTCAGGGCCAGAAGAAAAAAGGTCTCCTAACTGGGGACTCCTGTGAGCTCAGCTGAAAACAAGCCTATGACTGCGAGGAGAGCAGGGGCTTCAGGAGCCCGAACTGTCCCTAATACTGTTGGGAAGAGGTTCCGTGAGCCGCGGACCTCAAAGGGTCCTTCAATGTCTTTCAAAGGAGAAACTCAGCATGCACCTAGGGAATCCAGAGGCGACAGAGGACCGGGATGTTCAAAACGGAAGAGCAAGGCGCAGGGCTGGGGCAAGTAAGCACGGACTTAGGACGCAGGACTTCGGGGTGGCAAGGTGCTTAGAAAGCGAAACTGCATGTGGTGGCAATGACCCGCGTCAGGTCCAGCACCTCTCCCCACCAAACCAGACCGCTCATCTTAACCGGGAGGGTTCCCGCGGACTCTCACAGAAACCCGCCCGCCTCCCTGCAGTAGCCGGGCAGCTCTCGCACCTCCAGGAACCGCATAGAGCTCACTCACCAGCGGCAGCACACAGGGGTGCCCAAAAGGCAGTTGTGGCCAGGAGCAGCAGGACGCGACACAGCCCAATAGAGACCAAACTTGACATCCTCTTACCTGGTGAGCAGGATGGAACTCTAAGAGGGTTCCCCGAAGGCAGATCATATATAGTTCTCCTGGCCCCTCCCACATCCACTCACCCAATGAAAATAGACGCCTTGAACTTGAATGCAGATTTTCAGCCTACACTTGATCAGGACTGTATTCATTTCACTTCGTCAACCTCTAAAAATGTTTTCTAAAAATAGAACTATAGCTATTCTTACTATTACATAAGGCTCTAGCTTGTGCTTTTTCTGTGAGTGGAAATGTCATGCACCAACAAAGTTTTGACAATTTCTTAGACTTATTTTCATTTGTACTAAGTATTTGATTGAGATAATTTTTTTTTTTTTTAAAGGCACAGAAGGCATTGGCGTCCAGTCCCATTCTCAGAGTTTATTTTCATTAGTTACAGGGGCGGGGATGATATCTTTAAGTTGGAGATCCCTCGCTTTCCTGGTTCATCAGCTGATAGGTGGCATAAAGTGGACACCTCTGCCTCCATAATCAAGTAAGCAAGTCCCCATCATAAATCCCCTCTTATTGACCCCCACCTGCTTCTATTTGATTCTGTTTCTCTGGAAACTAATATAAGCCTCCAGTAAGTGCTGGGTCACAGTTACTGTGAGCTGATCCCAAGCCCTTTCAATCTCCATGTTGTCTATGCACCTTCGAGGACTCACTTGGAGTGACAGCTCCAGCAAACTGTCTCATTCCACCCATACCTAAAGACTTTTCCTACCTTAATAATTACATGCTAGGGAGCATTTACATATGGCTCAAGGAGAGAAGAAGCCTCAGAGGAGGCCCTGAAGGTCTTGGGCTCCAGATGTTGGGCAGTGCCCAGGATCAAGGCCCAGCTGCCCCTCCCCCAGCAAGCCTCCTAGATTCTCATCTGTGCAAGATACTGCTACCCCGCCCCTCCCCCTTCAGACTCTTCTGCTCTGCCCAATGAACTACTGCTTCTCTCTCCCCTCTCTTCTTTGCATCTCTGAACTCATAAGAACGGGGGTGGCTTACTCCTCACCCACCTTAGGATTCACTGCTGAGTCCTGAAAAGCAACAGAAATCATTCAGCGGTGTCCTTTAAACCCAGGGCGGGTCTCATGCACTATTTCAGGTCTTTGCGGCCACATTTACCCAGAAGATCACCTGTTACCCACGCGGGCTTAACTAAAATAAAACCTGTTGATTGATGTAAAAGCAGATTGAAGGTGCTTATGGGAACCTGGAGGCAGGCAAGCTGCATTTGGGTTGGGGTTTTCAGACAGCTAGGCAGATACACCTGCGAGCTGTGAGAATGCAGACCCAGTGGCTGGCGGAAGGACATTCTGAAGTGTTAATCAAGATCTGAAACCCAGCATACTTCAGCCAACATTGCCTGTATTTTGATGCGGTTGGGTACTGAAATGCTTCTTCCGTCCCACCCCCCACTTCCACAGGGGGCACAGGGGGTGCATCTTGGATTCTAGGATCAGAAACTGCTTCCTCTGGAGCAGGTCTAATCAGTACCATAATATTACAGCAGCAATGAGTATAACAAGAGTGTTGAGCTCCCTGCAATACTGCAATGAGCTGTGTAAACAGCCCGCCAAGAATGGAAGTGCCTGCCTCAGGATGGTCCTAATTGAAACCTGGCAGATCTGGAATAAAAATCAACAATCATGTTGCAGTGAGGCCACCCAGCGCCTTACCGCTTACACAAGCTGGGTGAGGAACCCTGCTTTATCAGGTCTGTCTCAAGTGGATGCAGTGAAGTGCCTTTGGCACTAGGTTCCAAACCATAAAGGATGAAATGGAGAGTGGAGAAAAGCAAATGGTGGTGGAACGTGGATCATGTGTTGAAGAAAGGAAGAAAAAGGGGTGAGGATTGGGGAAAAGAACATGAATATAGGAAGAAGAAGCAAGGACAAAGCAGGAAAGAGCAAGAGATGCAGAACTGAGGGGACTGCAGGCTCTGCCCTCTTCTGCCTTCCCCTAGGATTGGGCTCTGCTGTCCACTTAAGACCCCAGAGGAGGACCAAGACCCCAGGACACCCACTGCAGAGAAAGCTACAGTTTTCCTACATTGATTATATTTAAAAACAATCTAGATCCAATATAAAACAAATGGAAAGAATGAAGTAGAATAATATTCTGATGTTTTTCCATGATTAAAAATCCAACAGATTTTTAAAATATCATCTTTAAAGTGTATTTGGCAGTCCAGAGTGTATCTCAGTGGTAGAGTACCTGCTCGGCATGTGCCAGGCTATGAAAAGCAACAAACATGAGACAAAAACAAAATACCCACCAAATATATGTTTCAA